TGGGAACTTGCAGTGTTTAGCTCATCTTTCAGCTGAATTGCCTAAGGTGGGGTATGAAGTCAGCAGATAAGCTGTCAGCAGTCCTAAATTCACTTTCCATTCAAGTGTGGTTCTTGCAGAGAGTGTTTAGTGAGATGTCTGATGTGCCAAACAACATGTCTTTAAATTAAAGCTTAAGGCTAATTGTAAAGGTACTTATACTTCCCAGGGAAAAAAAAAAAATCCCACTTGTGTTTAGCAGGGAAGGTTTCAGTCCCTCAGGTGGAATGTGTCTAGGAGCACCATAAAGGTGTTCAGTGCTAGGTTTTATACTTCCAGTCTCAAGGCAGAAGTAATATCCAATAAACACAGTCACTAGGCTCAGAGCTTGAGTTAGAGGAAGGAGAAAGCAATTTCTGATGTAGTATTAAACCTCCTAACGGTGTTGTTAAAAACTAATTTTTCACTGTTCTTTTTATTTGCCAACAAATAGGTGACTGCTAGGTGCTGTATATCTTACCTCAGTGTGGATCTTACTGGGCAACAACAAGTGTCTCAGTTTAACATTCACTCCTCCTAGTATACCATGTGGCTAAGACAACTTCTACGTTTCATGAGTCTTTGTCTGCAAAGAGGGAACTTTCTACTCTGTGAGACTCAGTGGGAATACTCAGACCTGCCTCTGTGAAGTATGGTGACATTTGCTAACTTTGTCATGTCAAGTGACATATGAAAATTGGCAATTTATAGTACCTGGCTTCAGGGGAAGAAAAAACTGTATAGCACTTGTCTGTAGGCTTCAGATATAATTCTCTGAAAACAAAGCAGTTGTCCCAATTTAAGCTCATTTAATTTCCTTCCAAAGAAGTTAAATACAGTCGCTCCGGTGACAGTGTCAAGTCATCCCTCTATATTATTCTATTTGTTTCATCACAGGCTCTTTTCTCCAGGGAGCTCATTTGTATTCTCTTGCTTTCAGGTCATATGACTCTTAGTTTGTGTCATGGATTTAAATTTGACTTCTCTTTAGTATAAATTAAAATGTTACTGTTGCCACCAGACTGAGCCCGGAAACCACAACTGTGACTATTTAGCAACCTATTTTAAATTCAAGAAAAAGCCATATACCTAAATATTTTATGGCTAATTGCCATTTGGCTTCAGATCTAGATCTCAGTACTCAGGATAATGCTTACTATCACTATTGCTGCATGCTATTGCTTCTGAGTATTTGCTGTATTTAGAAATACTTTTTTTTTTTGCTTCCTTTTGAGAAAACTACACCATCTAGAAGGGCATTTGGGTTCCACTTGGGTCAGTCACTTGCACCAGCATAAAGATATTTTACTGCATATATTTTGACTGTTTTTTTCTGTCAACTCTGCTTTTTGTCTTGCAGTGCTGTATGGAAATAAAAACTTGTAGTTTTTACTACACAAACACTAGTGTAATGATTGGCTGAACATATGTGCCTAACTCTAAACAGCATAATTTAAATTTTTGGCCCATGACATATGCACTTTCCCCTTCTCTCACTTCATGTCAAATGGTCTGGACATCTACAGCAAAATTACTTTTCTAATGAGACTGCTACTATTGTGGATTGAGGGTCCAGAGATCAAGTGTGGGTCAATGTTCTTGCCTAGCTTCCGGACGATGCGGCCAGGGTTGATTTTGCTCCAGATCACCCTCTAAAACATCTACCAGGGAAGTTTATCTGAATGCCCAGAACAGCTCAAGCTCGAGCAGGTCTGCACAGCCAGTTCAGCCATAAACACACCGGCCTGCCATGTGCAAGCACAGGCTAACACAGCCTGCTCCGGGTAGGCTGCAAAATGCGATGCTAACTGCGATTTGGGAGACTGTCTTTGGATGACCCGTCTCACAGAAAGCCTAGGTTTGGTGTCTTTTTACCCCCTAGAGCTCTGTTCTACACTTGTAGGTCCTGGTCCCCAGCAACGCCCAGCAATACCTGTTATCCTGCTACCTTCTGCCCTATAGTCCAAAGTGCTTCCATCCCTCTGAGTCCTGCTCGTCTTCCCCGCAGCTTGTCTGCGCTCTGTTTAACTCCCCCCTACCAGCCCCTCTCCGTGCTCTGCACCGCTGTGTTTGAAGGCAGCAAAGGCGCCCTCTCTTTCCTGCAGGCACTGGGGGCAGCGGGTTTGCCCCTTCTCCCTACGGTCTTCGCCTCCCGGGAGATCCTGTGCCAGACCTGCCGCTGCTCGAGCCGCCAGGCAGGCTGCTCACAGGAGTGCCACACGAACCCACACGGAGTGCAGGCCGTGCTCCAGAGGCACCCCCGGCTCACCGGGTGCCCTGCGGGTCGGGCGGCTCCGAGCGGGGGGAGCGGCGTGTGCGGGGCCGGCGCTCCGGGAGGCACCAGCAGCACCTAGCGGTGAGAGACGGGCCGAGCGGGAAAGGGAAGGCTTCACTGTCTCAAACCGCGCTTTGCGCTGGCCAGAATCTGCCCGCAGGCATCGCCGCGTCCCTCCGTCCCGCAGAAAGGGCTTTTCTCCAGCAGCGGTGGCTCTGGACAAGAGGTGCAGTTCAACACCTCGGCGGGCAACTGTGATGAGTCTTGCCAAGAGCTCGGCCTCTGTGCCAAGCCCAGAACAGGAACCCGGTACATCCTCTTCCCTACTGAGGCTTAGGATTTGGAGACTGGGAACAAATTGTTTGATATAGATCACTTCACATGCAACACGCTGACTTTTCCCGTGACATTTGTCTCTTTTTTCAAAACATCGGAACTGTACCACTTCACGTCACAAGCCCTTAACTAAAAGGAGTTGAGTAGTTTCCCTGTCAGGCCAGTGATTTTGCAGACATCATGCTGTGAAATGGCATTATAGTGTCAAGACCTGACTGTCCATGGAAATATTACAAAACTTTTATTTATGTGTACATTTTATTTGTGAGTCTTTGAGCAATGCAGACACACACATGACCAGCAGAACTATTCCCCGTTTCAGGGAGGAAACAGCAATACAGTAGTAGGAAAATGCTAGAAGATTTTAGGACAAACATTATTTTTTCTTTAATAGAAAAGTGCTATCTGTTATGTCTTCAAATGTTGACAGACACTGGGGAAAAAAGAATCAGTTTATGTGGTCTTATGCTCCTTATTGTTCTATGCTCAGGGCCTCATCTGGAAGTCTTAGGAGGAAGAAAGGTTGAGCTGTCTTCAGGAAATTACGTGTGCAGTTGTGGCATTTGGTGAGGTGTTTTATCCCTAATGTTTAGATAACAAAATGACCCGCTCTACAGTAAAACTGAAAAAGAAGGCAAATAGTGCCCAAGGACAGAGTGCAACCCTTCACTGTGTTCTGCTCTGACCATCAGGATTGTTGAACATCATTATTTAAAATTCAGTTCACTAAACTGAAAAATATCATCCCATATATTAAGGAAATGAAGGAGCAGTTATTTACTATTCACTTGTAAATTAAGACAATACTCTAAGAAGATGCTATCACTAAAAACTCAGCTAGAGAGTAGGCATTTACTCAGTTTTAGGAAAGATGAGGATGAAAAAAGAGGCAAAGATGTCATGTCACTGTGCATGGGGCAGTTTGCTCAGCACCTTCCAGACTATACCTGACTAGAGCCTTATCCCAGAGTTTGAGTTTTGAGCAGAATATGTAGCCACGCCGCAATTATTTTGTATCCGTTACCTGTCATACACTTTCCAGTGTGAGTTTTAAAAATGGAAAACAGATAAAAAATGTTATGCATATAAATAATGTACTGAGTGTTTTATACAAGGCATATCTAAAAATGCATTACTGCATGAGTGGATGTAGTGATATAGTTCCTTGATTAAGGAAGAACTGAGAAATTAAGAACAGGCAAATAATTACATATTGTATAATGATCATTTCAGCAGATCTATACTGTTACTTCTCTGAGGCATGAATTGGGAGCACACCCACTGCCACCACAATTGGCTGTCATGGCATAGATAAGCCATCATACAATTACACTGTTTTTATATAGCTATAACATACTGTCAACATGAATGACAGGATCACTTTACAGAAGGAAAAAATCCCAGTCTCATTATATACACACACATACATATGCAACGGCAGCAATGCAGGCCATTCTGTCTGGGGATTCAGCTGATAAATAACCGAGGCTCTTATCTGGCGATTTTTAAATGTCACCAGACCAGCCTAGATGTGTTTTTATCCCTTGACTGCCGGGCTGCCTGTCCATCAGCAGTCACCATCCTATGGTTTTATGCGGTTGCCGCTGACGGCGTACAGACGCTGTGCATCACCGCGGGGACAGCGCGGCACATCAGCCACTCGCAAAAACACGTTTGATGCAGCCCCCCGGCCTCGCCGCGATCCCCCCGCGCGGCCCCCGGGCAGCGGCAGGGCCGCGGAGGGGCGGCGCTGCTTCTCCCGAGCGCTTCGTTTTCCGCCGTTGTCTGCGCTTCGGCGTGAGAAAACCTTCGCTTCCCTCCCCGGGTTCATCTCGACCCCATTCACCCCCGGCGAGCAAGGGGACATCGCGGCGGGGAGACGCGGTCACAGCTCCGGGCCCGGGCGAGGGGCGCACTCACGGACAGGGACCGCGCTCCGCTCCGGGCTCGTTGCGAGCCCCAGCTGGGCGGCGTGTCCAGGCACGACAGTCCGGAGCTCGGGAGCCCGGAGCTCGGCTGGGGTGTCCGCTAAACCACTGCGACCCCAGCGCGGCGTCTTCCCTGCGCCCCACTCCCATCCCAGCCACAGCAACGCAGCCGGCCCTGCCCCTTCCAGCAGGGAGGGAAGAGGCTGGATTTAAATACAAACATCGCTCCGCCGCTGGTTCTTATTCTCGCTCTCGGCTAGTGCCTCTCCTCGATCCTCAGCCCTCCCTACGGCGGCGGCACTTGAACCTGCCAGCCTGAAAAGTGCGCCATCCCCCACCCCCGACCTCCTCCCCTCCGGGCCAGCCTCGCCGCCCCCCCTCCGCAGGGGTCCGGCCGCGGAGCCGTCGTGTTCCCGAGACCCCCCGCCGGCCCTGGGAGGCCGGCTGCGAGCAGCGGGGAGGGCGGCGAGGGCGATTCGCTTGCTAAGAAATGCCCTGCTGAACTTTGAATATATTAGTTGACATCAGTACGAGTTGGGGCTGCCAGCCTCTAGCTCCCTCCTCCTTCCCTACCTCCTCCTCCTCCGCCTCCTCCTCCTCCCCTCGGTCTCCGATGGAAAGAGTTGAAGCCGTGCTGATAGGAGCCGCCTGGAAGAGACAGCGGAGCGCCCGGGAGGACTTCGGTCCCAACTCCGGCCGCGCCGCGGGGACGCTGCCCGCCGCCGCTCGCATGGCCCGGGGCGGCACTCCCTGAGCGCCGGGCTGGGCAGAGCCGCCGCTCCTCTCCCCTGCTCGCCCCGAGCCGAGCCGAGCCCAGCCGCGCCGAGCCGAGCCCAGCCCTTCCGAGCCGATCCCAGCCGCGCCGCGGCTGCCCCCGCTGCTGCGGCAGCCGGAGCGCGATGTGCCGGTGAGCCCCGCACCGGGAGCCCCGCGGCCGCCCCGTAAGCGCAGCCGGCGGGCCGGGGGGCGGGCGGCGGGCCGGGCCGGGGGGCGCGCAAACTTCCCAACTTGGCGGGGTCGGGGCGAGCGGGCGGCGCTGGGAAGGGGATCCGGGAAGGTGGGAACCCCCGGGCTGCTGTGCGTCTTCGCCGCCCCCGGCGCAGCGCCCGGTGATGGGGGGCCGTGGCTGTGTTTGTGCCCGGCGCTCGGTGCGCCGTCCCCCTACCCGCCGTGGGCTGGGGAGCCAAAGGGGCTTTTTTCCTTTTTGGTCACTGTGTTCGCAGTCCGGCAGCGCTGGAGAGCACGCTAGCTCGGAGGTGGCAGTGGAGGTGTTTTTTTCCCTCTTTCTCTCCCCGCCGTCTCCCCAGCTCTTCCTAAACCCGCTGATGGGGGCTGTGGCGAGAGCGAAGGGGTGCAGTGGTGGGCAGCCGGGTAGCCTAGACGGAGGGATATTAATGATTTATTTTTTTTTCACATGGTAATTTGTCTTTGTGGTTGGGGTGGCCCATTAAATTTCAGCTCACGTCCTGATGGAGATCAAAAGCGAAGGGGAGAGGGAGAGGGAAGCAGAGAGCCTTGTGCGGCTCCTTAGCTCCGTGCATTGTTAGAAACTTATGGGGAGTGTGTGTGGGGGTAGGATTTCCAGAAACAACCTTTGTCGATCCAGCTCCAACACCCACATCAAAAGTTGGAGACCTGTATTTTTCAGTACTACCATCTGCTCCCCCGTGCTGCCCAGGAGCACGCTTACTGTTACGCCTCAGAGGAAACAAACAAAAGGTGTGCTTGCCAAGTCGTTCCTGAACCTGCCTGTTCATGGGCTTTTAGGTGGAGTGTAAGTATAGAGCAGTATCTCTGTCCTAAAGGTTCACTGTCCTCTGTTGGCTCAGTTTAGACTCTTAGATAATTTCCTGTCCTTAAAAAAGGTCTCCAAACATGGTAGATGCCAGGTCGTGTTCTGGGGTTTTTCCTCATTTATTTATTTATTTATTTTGTGAGGTTTTATATTTGTTTTCTTTTTTTTTTTTTTTTTTTCCCCCTTGAACTATTTATGTATGGCTATATCGGCTTGGGATCATAGTAAAGTTTTATTTTTTGTTGTGTAAATGTTCCCTCTCATTACAGAAAATACTTCTTTTCCTAAATTATAGTCTGAGCTGCAAGAGGTTAGCTCTCTTTGCCTCTGGATGGGTTCAGTGGTAGGCTGAGACCCCAAGACGACTGCACTGCACACAAAATAGAAACCAAGTAAGCTAAAAGTTATAATGGGCTTTGATTCTTTTTGCTTGTTGAGATTAGTAGAGATCCTGGGTGAGTGAAGGCAAGGAGGAGGAGTGAGAGTAGCTGGAACAAGCTACTCATACAGAAAAATGCTCTCTTAATTATGTGTGTGGTTTGTAAGCACCCAAGGGAGAAAACTGGTCATAACTGCAGAGAAGGTGGCAAAGGAAAAGAAAAATCCTGATGATATGTAACCAGATTTTTAACAGAGATTTCATTTTTTAACAGCCACTTGAATAATCCATATCTTTAATTTTTTCTCCCTTCTGAACTAAAACTTTTCTGCTCAGATTGGATTGGATGATAAGTAGGCTCTGCACTAGGCGGGCTATAGTAGAGGATCTCTGCATTTTATGTTATGCCTCTTGTGTTTTCAGTGAAGTGGAGGCAAGTTCTCCTGTTTTTCTCCCTATCTTGCTTTCCTTCCTCAAAGAGGCTAAGTTTTTGTCCTGCCCTGCCAGGGACATGTTAATCCTGAAGTGATGGTGGGGAGAGAGATCCTGCCATTCAGAATATAGATATTGGCTTTGTCCATCCCCCAGCCTGTTAGGCTGATGGAATTGGCAGTGGTTGCCCTCGGTGACCTCCCTCCCTTCCTGCAAAGAGCTGGGGCAACCAGGGAGGAGAAAATGTGCAAACTCCAGCAAGCAAAAAGCACAACCCCAGGGGACAAAAGGCTTGAACAGAGAGATGTAGGGGATGAAGGGCTGTGTAGAAAATGACTTTTAACAAGGTGGCCTCAATCAATTCACATCAGCTGGGATAGATGGCATGAGTTCAGTAAGCAATGTGTGTAGCCCAACAGAAACTTGATACAAGTGGTGCCACAGGATTTTAGTTGCTTTGCAGTAAGATGAAACAAGTGTTCAGAAAAAATGGCTTTGGTCGTCCAGCATGCTTGCCCTTTATTCTCCAGGCAGAACGCTGACCTGGGGGAACGTACACCCCGACTATAAACTCTTTGCTTTTTACCTTGTAGTCAGTTATAAAAGTCCTGCTTGACTTGGGCTGAGACTTGATAGGGCCCAGTTAAAGGGAACGTTCCTGGAGAGCAGGCTCACTCTGTGGTATTAAAACATGGTTTGAACCATAGATTTCTGTTTTAGTCAGGATGAATAATCATGCGAGCAGACATACTAGGGTTAAATAAGACCATCTGCGTGAATGTATCTTCCTGAAAACAAATAGATGCCAGGCAAAGTTTCAGTGTGCAGTCGGGGCTGTTGCCTTGCTGTTCGGCAAAAGGGGGCAGCATCAAACAGTGCCACGGAGCGATCCGCCGCTGCTGCCTCCCTGCCTCGAGCGCTGGTGTGTGCTCTGCCGACCGGGATCTGGGAATTTAGGGTGTTATCCAGTAGCCCTTATTCAGGTGATTCCTTGTAAAGACATCAGAGAGGTTAATTGACTGTCTAGAAGATGCAGGATCTAAGCTGTAATTGTTTTACTTTGTGGTTGCATCACTTCCATATGCTGGGGAACTCTTGGAAATTAAGGACAATGCTGTGTGATTGCAAAGCCACTTTTGTTCACATTTAGAAGGCTGACAGCAGTAACCTTACCCTGTTCTTACTGTACTGATTTTAGGGAGAGCATGATGAAGCCCTAGCTTTGGATTGCTCTTGGTATAAATGTCTTCCAAGGAATTGTCATCACTGTTTTCCATAGTAGGAAAACAAAACATTTTCTTCTACAAATTTAACTTTCTTTGAGAACTCATTTGTTTCCAGCCTAGAGAAATATATTGATCCAGCGTATTAAAAAATGAGTTTAGAATGCATTTAAAAGCCTTTTCACCTTTCATTTATCTACATGCCTGGAATTATTAGATTAGCATTTCTTAGTTCATTTTTTATTGAAAAACGTAGGTAATTTTACCAAGGGTCTGTCATTGGAGAGCCAGGCACTGGACTCCAGCTTTGTCAGGTCTCCCAAGTGTTGCTCACTGCCTTCATGGCAAGAACTGCAGCAGTAAGTGCAGACTCCCCAAGAGAGAGGGGAGTAAGGAGTGGTGAGGAATAAGGAGTCAGTTGTCACAATGTGAAGATGTTCCACTGCTGGGGTAGTGCTGAGATACAGAGTTTAGGTGCAGTCCTGTGTGAAGTCTGCAAGTGAATTTGCCTTGCAGATCATACCCACCAGATCATTTCTGGTGTAAAACTGGAAAAGGGCAATTTAATTATCTGCAGACAGTGGTGGAGGCAATTCAGAACAGTTCTCTTGCAGTGAAATTCATTGGTGTTCGTGGTGCAGCAGGTGTGTAAGTTACAAGCCACACTAAGATTGCAAAGTCGGTCTTAAGTGATGGACTTAACCTTTTTATAGACTGAGTACTGTGAAGGTGAACTGCTACTATTTTGCTTTGGATTCTTGTGATTTAGTCCAGGAGAATAAATGTGGAGTTTTGCACTATCCCTGCTGTGCCTTGAAATGAGCTGTGTCCAAGTATGTGTTGTTGTTTCTGAGATTCTTTGTTATTGTTACCCTTTTTCTTTTTAAGGAGACAAAAATCAACTCATCCAAAGCAGTAAAGATGAGATAGTGTTATTGGAGGGGTTGTTTCTCTGTTTTTTTACCCCATGGACTGCTGACTTGTCCAGTGTGTCCAGTGCCAGGACTCATCCCATCTCTGTCCATGGTGGCAATTTTCACCAGTTTCAGTGGGAGCTGAGTATGAGACACAACACATGAACAGCTATTTGAGTCTGCATCTTGTGTGGACAGTGCCTTGTTTACTGGAGATTATTTTTCAAGCACAGATAACCTCAGTATTTATTTCACTCCTCATTGTTGTCGAAAAAAACCCCACAAATCCTGCCTAACAGCAGTTATTCCTTACCCCAGGCACTAACCGTGTGAGCAAAGTGCAGCAGAACTCCAACAGAACAACAGTGACTTTCAGTACTCAGGGTCTCCTTGAGCACTCAGGGTCTCCTTGACTACAGCGCTGCAACTCCCAAAATTGACTCTGCTTCAGCATTTATATCAAGCACAAACTTTTAAGGTCCACAAAAAATCAAAGTGATTTTCTAAAGATGGGCGTATCAGTAGCAGCACTCCAGAAGTGTTACTGTTATCAAATATGCATCTACAAACCAAGCGGGTTTGTTTTGTTTCAGAATGTACTAAGTCTGGGAGGTAATTTGCATGTGAAGAGGATGTTACCAAGTTACAAAGTATGACTCTGAACTGGTGACAGGGCTATTCAAGTGGTTATAATTAAACATATACCAAAGCACTGTCCTGGTTAAGAACTGGTGTGGCTTTATTTCCTTTTTAGGAAGCTTTAAATGAGACCACAAGTAAACATGCTGATTACTAGTTTTAATCCCCAAATCAATTGTGAACACCTTGGGAGTTTATAAATTGCATGTGTAATTTCGTTGGTTTTCAGTAAGGGGTCATTTGCGGAGAGAGCACAGAGTATTTTCTTCCCAGGAGCTGCTGTGAAGGAGCTTGATCTTACAAGGTGCTGCGTGCTCTTCATTCTTGTTAATGCGTCTCCGGGAAACAGCACCCTGCATGACCAGACCCTGATAAACACAAACTGTAGCAGTGTCTGACCTCTGTGGTCACCAGCTTTGTTGAGCAGGCGAAATGCTTATGGGCTTGTTAGTATATGTAACATGCTCCCTATCAGGTCGTTGCTGGAAGCCAAGTAAATTGCAGAGTGCCTGTTCCAAAGGTTTGACTTTATCCATGGCGCAGCAACACATGACCAGGC